ACACGTCATCTGAATTGCAAAATATAAATGAAATCGGAAGAAGATTATACTACCATTAAAAAAAATCGATTGTTCTGACGTATTCAGAGAAAAATTCATTGAATTTCGACCGTCAAGGTTCAAATGATTTTGGCGGGAAAATATTATTTTATATTTAATCCCTCTTTTAACCTTTAAGAACAGTCAATTTTCCTGTCGAAATTTTAATTTTCTTAATGAATTTTATTTGTTATTTTCAATTCAAAAATATAAGTCCTTAATTAAGAGGGCCTTTAAAAATTCCCAAGAAGCAAAAATCTTTAAAAAATATTCTCTTGATGAAATTCAAGAATAATATGTGGTCTGGCCGTTTGGTGCCAGTGGTGCTCACTGACGAAGTCAAAAACTCTTTTCACCCAAGAGTCTGCGAGGCGCGCGATAAGAGGCTGAAATCCCTCTCGGTTTGGCGCACCTTGTTGCCGAACGACACACGATGAGACGAGCACCGACCTAACTCACTCACTCGCACACGACGAGAGCAGAGACAAACTTGGCTGCAAACTACACAAACACACGAGTACAAACACACACATACATGCACACCTTAACTTGCAACTTGGATGAGAAAAGTCTCGAGAGAGCGAGATGAGAATGTTGATGTGCTTTACGAACCACGTCTAATCTCTTGCCAGAAAACGAGTTTTGAAAATAAAAACTGAAAGAAAGTCATTTTTCTAACCAGTCATAATAAAAATGGCATGATTTATTTTTATGTTAATTTTTTTGCAAGACCATTAGAATAAATTTTTTGAAAATTATCATTGCTCCTTACGAGGAAATTTCTAAAATAATTTTCCTCTCAAATCTCTTCAATTAAAATTAATGAAAAATCCTCATTTTGAATTAACATAATAAAAATTCAAAGTGTAAAAAACGATATATTAAATCCTTTTAAAAACTATTCCCAAACCTATCTTTCAAGTTAAGCCGTCCTTATGAATTTATTAATTATTTTTGAATTCTGGAAAACAATCAATTTTGTGGGAGTGAGAAACTTTATGACTGAAAAATACAATAATATTAAAAATAATATTTGATAATAATTTCAATCTCTCAACCCCCTTAATAGAGTTGGGATAAAAATTGAAAAAGTAGTTAGGCAGCCGGGAGTGGCATTCGCGTCGAGCCGGTTGCATAACCAACAGTTGAGTGTTATTTTAATTAGCTTCGAATTTATTCAGTAGAAGAGAAACTCGCGGGGTTGGAAATAATTCAAAACAAGCTGATCTCATTCGAATGAAAATTCCTCGCTCTATATATATTCCGGTCGTGTTTGCCTCTCCACGTTTGCACTCGCCCGGGTTCATTTGAATGCGCTTGGTGCGAACGCGATATACCTGGCAACAAATTGCATCTCCGTATCGCTGCTGCTGGGAAAACTCGCGAGATAAAAAAAAATGTGAGCAACAAGAAAAAGCCTCCTAGAAATCGATACCAAGTTGCAAAACACTGCCAAGGGACGTGAAGAAAAATTACTTTTTGAGTGCTTCCAATATTGGAGTTTTTATTTTGTTTTCTGCAAAAAAAAAACCAATTTGGATGAAAAAGAATTAGTATTTGTAAGACTGCCTTTTATTTTTCCATTAGAGTAGGTTGAATTTTTAAAGTAATTTAAATATTAATTTATTAAGAAAATTAACTGATTAAATTTTGTGATTTGCTGTGAATTTTTAGATCTTGATGAAGCTGAAAGTTTAGACGTCTCTGGAGTGCAGATCCTTCCCCTAGCTTTTCAGCCCCAGAGCGAAAATTGCAAACAGCCCAGCAGGTCCAACAAGATCTGTCTCGGCTGTGTCTCGAGCAATAAATAAAAAAGACCGAAGACGTTCTTCGGCTGCGGCACTTCCTTTTCCCATTCGCTCGGTATTTACACTATTTCCTGCGGGATTAATCCATCCCCCTACTTTTTTTTCCTTTCCGAACAGCAGGCAATAGAGATTTTAGCAGCAAAGTCGATCAATTACTCCTTCTGCCTCTGGCCCCGAATAAGTGGGATTTTCCCTCTCAAGAGCAAAAAAGACGACGACGAGAGAGAGAAACTCACATGCGATATTCCCGCGGGCCACGCTCCGATGTCGGATCAATTGATTCCGTGAGACAGAAAATTCTGCTGCCTCTCTTCAAAAGGAAAATTCACACCCTACTTCACACGCACCAAATAAACTAACGGAGTAAAATAAGAATAAAAAAGTTTACAAAAATATCTCTATAAAAACTTATTAATTTTGAAAAGAAGAATAAATAATAATAATGAAAGTTTAAATATTTTAGTTGTAATTTTTTCATAAGTTGTTGTTTGTTTCATTTCAAAATTGGAGATAAATTAAATTAAAACTTTTTAATCTGGAAATCTTAAATTTTAGGGAAGATATTTTTCTTAAATCATGAAAATTATATAATGTCCTTTTTTTGTTAAGTCATTTTATTTTCACCAATATTGGCGAAAAAGAAAAATAATTGCGGAAAATCACAATTCTTTTGCATTTTTGACAAATTAAAAATGTGATGTTTGTTCTGCTGAACAAAAATATCACGACTGCTGGCGATGAAAACAAATTAGTCTGCCTTCTCTCGTCAGGCGTAACTTTTATTTTTTTGCCGCAATTCTCTCTCATCATTGTTTGCAGAGCGGCGAGTCCATTTCGCGCGCTCATAACTTATGCATCGCGCTCTTCTTTTGTCTCTCGTCGTATAGTTTGAGAACAATGAGTCCACCGGATGGAAATAAATAATAATGCACCTGTACGGCAGGAGACACTCGACCTGGAAAGTAAAACTGCGACACCGGCCTGCACCATTAAGAATCCAAGAAACTCGCGTCTTAATTGCGGACATTTCTTTAATTGCAACGCACTTGCATTTATTCTCAGAATAAAGTAAAATAAACGTAAAAAATAATCATAAGAAGAAGAAAATAAAAAAATTAAAATTGCGGAATGATTAAAGAAAAAGCATGTCCATTTGCAGTTTTCTCACGGTAATCTGAATTAAATTTTACTTTTTTCATCCCCATTTGATAAAAAATATAGAATAAATTAATTTAAAATGTTCTTTTATTCACATCAATTATCAAAATGGATAAATTGAAATCCTAGATCAAATAAAAAAAAGAAGTAATATGATTTACGCTTCAATTCTTATTTGAATTTAAAAATGTATTCCTCTTTGCAATCAATTTTCTTTATTTTACTCTCTGAATTATTCAATATTGTTATAAGTATTTCATAGCAAAAAAAAACCTTGTTTAATGAACCTGAAAACAATATAATGTAAAAGTGGAGAGTAATGGAAAAAATTCACTGTTTTTTATTAATTAATATGACTGTTGTATAATAATCCTGTGATACAATTGTGAATCAAGTGATCCTCTAGAGAATGAAGCAGCATTAATTAAAAATACACGCCAAACTGCACAATCTGAATCAGGTATTGGACATTTTAATCGACACAGCTTGTTAATTTTATTGAATAATGAGAGCAGCACATTAAAATTGACAATAACTGGATAATTAGGTACTCAAAGGTAAGAAGAACAACTTCAACCTTCAACATTGATTGCTAATTAATAAGAGTGAAACAATGAAATTCTCGTCAGTGATATTTCAATTGTTAGTAAAATGCAATTAAAAAGTTATGTTATTAAAAAACTGCATCGTGTTGACCGTTTGCTTCATTAAAACTCCCATCTTTGCGGTTTTGAAACAATGGCCGAGTTTTTGCGGGTAATTTTCCTTCGGTGGAAAATATACCATGGAAACGAGAGTCGTTTTTGCATCAAAGATGAGGCCGCAATCGCTTAACCCTTCATGGCCGGCTAGCTCATCTAAAATGCATAAAGAGCACAGGCTTGAGTGCGAGTCTGCGGTTTTTTGTTGCACGTCGTGTGTGTTTGCTGGCGGCCTCGCCGCCACCCCTGCACTTTTGCATTAACGTGAATTACCCTCTCGCGATCGATGAGCCTCGCTGCATTTCACCACCGGTACACGCAGCCTGACAAATTGCCTCTCTCTATACAAAAAATTATTCAACCAAGGAATAATTTGGTAAGTTTTTGAGTTACATTTTGTCAATAATTGGAACTCCCATAATTTTCGCCGGTTAAAAAGCTTTTAATTAACGTTTTGTGAAAAGGATTTATAAAATAAATTCAAAATTTAATTTTAAATTTTTTATTAATCCGGTAAATTAAATTGCTATCTGAAAATTTGATAAAAATTATATTTTCAATTACATGTCATCATTATATTCCTTTCTAACAACAGAACTTATGGAGGAATAATAAAATTAGAAAAGAGTCGATTATCAGACCGGAATTTTTATTTTATTTTTCGAGATTTTACATTTTAATAATTTTGTTTTGAAATCGTTCATATGAATAATATTCATTTGCATGAAGTTTCATCAAAATACTTCAAACGATCCCGATATTTAAATAAACTGCGATTTTTTAAATTTTTTTTTTTTTCAAAAAAATTTTAAGTAACTGGCATCTCAAACTTTTGAGATCAAACACACGAATTCAAATCGCGCTGAGAGCCATCAGTCTGATGTCGACTGAGTGCCGAGGAGAATAATGATACAAAAATGAGGAACATCAAAGCACGATGCATGTGCTGTTGTTTTTGTTGTTTTTTGCAAACAAAAAAAAAACTCCCGTCAAAATTTTCAAAGTTAAGACCTGCCCGCAGACATCAAAATGAACTAAAATAATCGAAGATTTTGAAAATTCAGTTCGCTTATCTTGTCCAGGAAAGAATACTTAATTAGTAGATAACATACCCGAAGAATAATTAATCGATTATAACTGAATCTTAACGACAAAGGACTAAACGGCGGGCATCTCATTTTACATTTTCATATTTATCGTCAGTTTTAATAAAAAATCGTATGTTTTTTTATAAAAAAAAAAATTAAAAAGGTGGTCGGCTGGGGCTCCACTTTCGACCATGAACAGCCACAAATTCTGCAAAAGGGGATTCTGAAAATCGTTTCGTACCAGAATTGCTATGAAAGCAACAATATGAAGAAAAAGTTTTCTTCCAAATACATGCGACCGACGGAGAACTTTTGCGCCGGAATTCCTCAAACGCGTGAGAATATATTTTCATTAGGCGGAAAAAAAGTAAAAATTTTGTTTATTTAGAGACAAGTGCTTGCAAAGGGGACAGCGGCGGAGGATTGACTTTCTACGACCGTGATGACACCGAACGCCACTTTTTGCGCGGCGTCGTCAGCATGGGTTCTGTCAAGAAATTCCCCGATGATTTCGTCACGTGCAACCCCAAGTTCTACGCTCTCTACACCGACGTCACCAATTACATGGACTGGATCGTCCAAAACTCCCCCGACATAAATGTTTAGATTTTTTTTTAAATACAAATATCATTATTGCAGTTAGTAATTTCATTGCCGGGAAATATTTCTTTTTAAACGAATTATTAAATTTTGGTCCAAGTACGGCTGCGGCGAGCAGGGCGGCCAAGGGGCCACCGAGGCCTCCAATTCGTACGGCAACATGATGCTCGAGGCCGGCAACCAACTTCTCGCCCTCCTCGTCCCGCCCGCATAAAATTCTTGTATTTTGATCAAATCGGTGTCACATTAATTGTTCTTTGGTAGTTTTAGAATGTTTGTAAAATATATCCAAGCAATGTCACATTTCATAGTTTTAATATTTTTCCATCTTTTAGGATATTTAATTTTAATTCGATAAAATTTTAACATTGGAAAGTTTGCAGATTTTTTTAATAAACTGGAGTTTGAAACACGAAAAACAATTTTTTTCAAAAAATATCGTAATATTGCCTACGCTGAAGTGATTTTTATCTTAATTCTTTTCACATTGTGCAAGTTTAATTTTGAATGGAAACTTTGGTCAGCCGAACCGAAATCGATTCACGCTCCAGGAGGAGTTTTTCAGGGTGAAATCTCGACAATTTTCTGCTTTCCAGAAAGTTCAATAACACGCCTCTTTATCGCTAATACGCTTCGGTGCTCAGTTTTCGTCAAAGTCATAATCGGAAGAATTTAATAAAGTTTACCTGTTGCCTTTGAGGTATGCAACCGGCAGCACAGGTTTGGCGTTGTATTAAAAAGAGACATAAAAAGAAGCGTTTCATACAAATTTGCAGGAAATAAAAATATTTCTCAATGAGAAAAATTTCTGCAACTTCATTCTTCATAAACTTGGTATATTTTGGTCTTGGATTGGTTTCTTTTCTTGCGATTTTAGGGCAAGAAATAAAATTATTAATCCTAAAAAGTTAAATTGATTTTGCAGATCTGGGACCGGAGACCAGATGTTTAATTTCGAGATTCGCACACGCATCTGTGCGAGTTTTTTGTTTTGATTGCAGGATTTGCACAAATAACGTGTGAAAAAATTTCATTCGCTCCCCGCAGCGATCTGCACCAGCGAACCGACGCAACAGAAAGTGTCAAGTTCATATCAAAATGAGAAAACCAAAACTCTCGAGTTGTTTTTCTGAAACTCTAATATTCTGCCCAATAAATTTTATAATTAAACCGGCCATTTTATAATTCCGTTTAAACAAAAAATTCTCTAAAATATATATTCAGCTATTTATTTTTTAATTTAATTTTGGTGATTTTGGCGAAATTGTTTCATTCAAAATGTATTGTACGAATTGAGACAAAATTCATTTGTTGCTTGAAAGAAATTAAATTTCGAGTATGTGAAGGAAAAATATACCAGTTTTGCTCTCGCTTAGCAAAAGATAAATTGCGTCTGCTTTGATTTCGGCGCGATCAATCTGAGACGGCGGATGCTGCGAAGGACAAAGTTTATCAATGATGCCCTCTGCCAACTGACAAAACCCGCACAATCTGCCGATTTTCCTCAACAACCGCCAGCAACTTTTATTAATAATAATTTGATTTTTCAATTACAAAATTTTGCCTTTTGCACGCACAAATTTAGGTCTAATTGAAAATTATGGTAACTCAAAAAGACTTGAATTTTTTAAATAATCAATTTGCGGCCCACCTCGGCGCGGACCTCTCTTGAGGCCCCGCGTTTGCCACAGGTGTTGCCGTTTCTTCACATTTTGAAATTTTCTTCTCATTTGACTGATTTTTGAAGAATAAACAACATCAACAATAATAATAATTAAGCCGCAAAAGCGACAGAAATATAAAAAAGGGGCAAATTTTCAATTGAAAATGTTAAATTAAGGCAGCAAAGGAACTGTTGAGCTTCTCAGCACGTTTTAATCTCATTTGATACTTGATAGGCAAAGGCAAAAAAATATTAAGAAATATTTCATTTTTAAATGCATGGATTTTTATGCCAAAAAGAATTTTACGGAAAAATTTATTTAAAGATATTTTATTTCTAGTATTAAAATGATAAAAATGTTAATTTAGCTTCAATTAGCAGCAAATAAATTGCCTCGCTCGATTTCGGCGCGATCTGAAATATAAGCTTCTAATCTGAGACGCCGGATGCTGTTGTGAGGGTTTATCAATTTAAAATAAAACTGGAAAGTCCCGCAATCTCTGCCGATTTTCCTCATCAATTGGCTCGAACAAGAGGCTTGGGAAGGCACTCGGCATTCGCTCTTCGCTTCTCAATCGCTGCGATCGTCGCCACCGCGGCTCGTCCAACACAAAACCATTCTCAAGTAAGATTTTTGTCCAATCCTTAATTGCAAATTGAAATTTTACTTTTCCGTATTTTAAATGTGGCAATTATTCCAGCTTCAAATTTTATTCAAAATAGTAAAATGCGCATCTAAACTATTTGATATCTACAAATAGTTGTTAGTGTGCGTGAGCCCTGGAATTGCGCGAAATCGCGATCCATTAGCTCTGTTTGCCCTATTTTTGCGAGTTTATTTTTCATTTTTGCGACTCAAAAAGTCATTTAAAAATTAATTTCTTGATTTCAGAAGTCAAATTTTTTTTTGTATTCCATAAAGCCACAGTTTCAGTAAAACCACGTAAAAATCTCTTAATAAAAACACCATTTTTTTCACTTTTGCTCTCTGTTTTTTTGGCAAAGTGAATAAATTAATAACTCACGTTCTGATTTCCTATTTCCAATGCAAAAAGTTTCTTCATATCTTTTCCGATGGTAAAATTTGAGAGCTGAAATTCGAGGAGACAAAATTAAAAGTTTGTGTAAAATGTTTCTACTTTTGCTTAAAATTTTCACTTTAGGAAACATTTCTTAAAAGCTGTGAGAGTAAAAAAGTTTGTCAACTCGGGAAAATATCGCAAAATCTGCAGATTTTCACTATTGTTGTTTGGTGAAAAAAATTTCTCTTAACTTTCATCTGAATGTTTTTGAAAAATTCATTCCTGGCAAGGTAAAAATTGGTTAGTTAAACATTGCAGGCAAAATTCGCAAAAGCCAAGGTTGAAAATGGAGATCGGAAGTTGGATTTGGATTTTCGCCGTCTGCACTTTTTCTGCTTCTGCCCAGACTTGGGAGGAAAGTATGCAGGTGAGAGTTTGGCTAAAACGCAAAATTCATTTCCTTGAATTCAATTAATTTTTATTGACTGGATCTGTTTGAAATTAAAATCGGAGTTTAAATAAAATTATGAGAAAATCAACTTTAAAATTTGTCAACATTTTGTAACATGTCCTGACAACGTATTAACAAGTTTTCTTCTTTTCGATATTGAAACTATTTGAAGGCAAAATTATGTCCAACGGTTTGAATTGAAATAAAATATTATAATCAATTTCTTGACCTTTACGACTTTAATTTTGGCAAATTACGGTTAATCTGTTAGAAGAAATAGAATTATGATTAATTAAAGTAAAATAAAAAAATTAAAATTACTTTCATTTTTCACAGAAAATTTACTCGACCGACTGCTGGAATTACGGAAAAAATCGATCAATTTTTGAAGCTCCAGGTATAAGATTCAATTGAATATGATTTTTTTGTTTTGTTTTTATTAAATGAAGTTAAATGCTTTCACAACCTTCAAATAATGTCAGGCTCAAAATTTATTATTGCATCTCTGGATTTGGAACATAAATTTTTAAGTTCACTCAACTTGGAATTTTCAATTTTCTGAAGTCCCATTATTTATGTCGGAAAAAGGACGGAAAATTCGGTTTTAAACGCAACTTTAAAAACGATCGCACCTTTTTTAATTTCTTTTGATTCGAAAATAATTAAGACCAAATATTCTGTACAAGGTTTTCCAGAAAAGTTTTTTTTATAAGCCTTTGACCAGGTAAAAATGCAAAATTCCAACTGGATAATCTCAAAATTCTGATTTTAGAGAAAAACAAAGTCTCTGGGAATAAAATTTTTGCACTAATCATCGTCAATATTCAATCAATTTAATTAAATTAATCTGTTGAATTTCATATTAAAACATAGTTTATGTCACTTTTATAATATCGAGTTGACATTTAACTCTTTAAAAAATTCGCATGTAAAAAAATGCGTATAAAACTGGATTGCTCGGCTTTCAAGTCTTGCTTTCCAGTCACATAAGCACCGGCCGAAATCTCCGCTTCAAGTTGGTTGTTACTTCTTTCCGATAATTATACTTCATTCAAAAATAAAAATTCTCAATAATTGATTTTCAGGCGTTCAAAATTTCAATGACTGCGGCCGATGGAACCGAAGGGGAACCGCCCCGTGGGTTGTTTACCTAGAAAAGGATTATGGCGATAAGGTTGAAGGTGTTCTTGTATCAGACACAACAATCATCTCTTGTAAGTATTGATTAGAGAATTATTGTTTTTCAAGTTTTCAAAAATTAACACCAAATGATTTTTGATTCCTCAATTAGACAGTTGGCTCTTTTTATACGACGCGTATAAAGAAGGGAAAGAAATTAAAATTTATGCAGGCAAATGTGAAGACGAAAATGATGGACAAAAATGCTACTGGAAAATAGGTTTATTGCAGAATAAAAAGGTATATTTCCTTTTTTCGCCGCATTTTCACCAACTTTTGTAAATTTTAGTTTTTTTGATTTTCCAAAAAAGACGATTTTCTGCTCAAGATGAAAATAATTCCCTCAATCTGATCTGAACGTGTAAATTTAATTTAAACCTATTTGGCCATTAATTTACGTGATTTAAAAATTATAATTCCTGAAATTTACGTTAGCTACAAATTCAATGGCACAATTTTTAAATTTAAAAACAGGATAACAATATACCATAAAAGATTTTTCGCAAATTTCAAAATCAATACGCAATGTTTTCAGTTGTTGAACGTAAAGAAGGTGGAATTGAAGCACGGCAGATTTTTTTCCGAGACGATCTATGTTTGGCAAATTGAAAAATTGGATTTGACACCGAATCTGCAGCCTGCCTGTTTGTGGAATTGGGACAACAGGAATGACCAACACGAACATTTTTATAGTTACGGTCGTTGGCCTGTACGTATGATTAACTTTTTTGCCTTTTACAATTTTAGAGGGCGCGCGAGTAGCAAATTATTTTGTAGCTTTATTACTATTCAGATTTTTGCATCGACGTTAGTTTTTTTTATGAACAAAATTGAATTCTGAAATTGTTGAAAAAAATTTACGGGTCGTGCTATTTTTTTTTTTTTTTTAACTAGATTTGAATAAATGGTGGAAAAATTATGTCAATGTATTTGACTGGAAAAAATCCGTCAAAATAATTCCATAAATTTGCCGTGATGATGGGAGTTTTTACGAATTCCGTCTTTTTTTCTTTGATATTTTTGAAAGAGAAACGGTTTTTTTATCATTTATTTCTATTTTTGGAGAAATTAACATTTATTGGAAAAACGATTCTAGAGCGAGATTTCAACATTTTCAAGATGCGAAAATAGCCATGAATTCATCTACACATGCAATTGTTTCATTCACTAGCAAAATTTTCAACGTAATTACAAATTGAAAGAAAAACTCATCTCATAAATAGCCAAAGCTGAATAATTGGAAATATTTTTTAATTCACAACAAACCGAAAAGATATTTTCGATTTCTTCACATGGAAATTCTGCACACGTATTCATGATACACGGCCTGGAACCTTGTTTCACAGGGGTAGGGGGTGGTCCATTGTTCCACGCGACACTTTGAAGGCGCGCGCGAATATCCAAAAGTGCAGTTCTATTCACGAATTTTCCATTAATTAATTTTTTCTAGTTCCTCGATTTATAATTATAAATCATCGTTTTATTTCCACAATTAAAATTGATTCAAATTTTGTTGCAATCGTTAGGATGGAAGGCAAAAAGTAGATTTCCTGCCGGAGCAAAGGTGTTATAGTGAGGATCAGATTGAAAAAAGGGAATGCGACCTCTACGGGAATACAATCTGCACATTGCCAATAGACGGTAAGTTAAATTGAAACCACGGAATATATTATAAATTCTCAATGGACGCCACAAAAAGTTTTGATTGGTTAGTGACGGGCGTCGTTTCGTCTGCCTCTGCGTTTCACAATTAATTTTGAGAGAATTTAGGTTTGAGCGCAGAAATTAAATTCGGTCTGCGTTCAAATTTTGCAAAACATATTTTGAAGAAAACACCGACCAAAAATAAGTTCGCCTGGAGTTCCTTTTCCTTTCAATCGTCAAGCCCCAGAACGACCTCAGCCACCTGCCCTCGAGCAATCTCTCCACGCTGGCTGTGCAAGCAGTAATTGAGACGGAAAATTTAAAGTGTTTTTTTAATAAAATATTTGTTTTAGTAGAAAATGAAGAGTCCAGCCAACTTCCTGCGGAGTTATAGGCTGGTGACTGCAATGCAAGGCAAAGCCAACAGCATTTTAGTGCTTGCGATTGTTCTTCTTTTTATGGTTTTGGTTCAGCGCGGCGGCTGCGTCTCTTTTTATTTCGGGCGTTTGATAGTTGTGATGCCCTTTCTGCTCATTTTTAAAGATTCTTATTTTTTTTCAATTACTTTAGAAGAATAAACAATAAAATGACTACATAAAATTCCGTTAGCCAAATTTCAAAGGCATATTGGAAAAATTTATTATTAAAATGTTTAATATTTTGTCAAGAAAGGCGGCAAATGTGGGTAATTTGATTGAGGGGTTAGAAATTATATTTTTAGAGCTTTAAAAATAAGGAATTTCTAAAAACGAACCCAAAATTTGGGGAAGAGCTCCATTTTTTTTAGCAGCTTCCAACTGATTTTGCTTATTTAGTTTCAGAACGGTCTCACTGTTTGTTTATTGAGCGAGAAGAACGATTTTATCTACGCGCAGTGGGGTTTGATTATTCAAGTAGCGCTGTAAGTTGGTTGGATTTGTTGCCATTCTTGAATGAAATCACTTCAGCGTCCGTCGATTTGGCTTCAATGCCAAAAATCCCCAAGACAAAATCCAAAAAAGGTTTTAATTTAATTTCCATTTTGATTATTGCAAATTTCAAGGTTTCCAGATTTTGGCCCAAACCAGAGTTTTGCAAACTGCGGACGACGATCGGGCGAACGTCAACGAAAAAGAGAAGCCGGAAAGGCCCTTCCGTTGGTCACCAATGGCAGGAACGCGGTCAGAGGTCAACACCCTTGGCACGCGAGTCTTTCCATGGAAACGGACACAGGGCGTGAGGCAGATTCTTGCGGCGCGACCCTCATTTCAAAAAAGGTCCTCGTCACAGGTCAGAATTGTATTATTTTTAGAAAAATCGCTCTTTTTTCATAACTGAACTTGACAAATTTCTAAAATCTAAACACGATTTTTAGCGGCGCATTGTCTCTTTGACGAGGATGGAAGTTCTTTGAACGCGAGTCACGTGGACGTGACCCTCGGAATGCACAATCGATCGAATTTGCAAGAGAAGCGACAGAAGTTTACAGTAAAAAATAAAAAGCATTGCGCAATTAATTAATCTCCAACTTCGCATTTGCTCGGATAGTTTTCACGTGAACTTGGCGTAGATAAAAAGTTTTTCACAGAACAGACAATTCTGATGTGAAAGAATTAACTTCTTTTTTAATTAATTAATTTAAAAATTCTTTTGGTGTGCTTTTTAAATGATTGTACGTGGATCAACGTGGATCAGAATTAAGCTATCCAGGTGAATTTTTGAAACCCTATTAAATATATCGGATGATTCTGGGAATGGATTAAAATCAAATTTTCCTATTATTTGTCAATTTCTAGGTAAAACTTTTTTAACAACGGGAAATTTATTATTTTGGTTTATTCTATTGAATTCATGAAAGAGAATGAAGTTGAAAATGGGAAAAAATGAATCACAAAGCTGACGACGAGGTCTTCTTAAACTCTCAACGCACCACAAGAAACACACTATCGATTAAAACGTCTTTGTTTAGGCTGCAAGTCTGGTGATTCATCCTGGCTACAACCACAGCACGTGGGAATTCAAGGATGACATTGCCCTAGTCATCTTGGCAGAAGAGGTCAATTTCAATGATTTTGTGCGGCCCATTTGTCTCTGGAACGACGACTACGATTTGAACAAAATCGCAAAAAAATCCGTCATGGTCAGTTTTAATAAAAAATCGTATATTTTTTTATAAAAAAAAAAATTAAAAAGGTGGTCGGCTGGGGATACACCCTGGACCACGAACAGTCTGAAATCCTTCAAAAGGCGAAACTGAAAGTCGTTTCTTATGAGGATTGTTTCAAGAGCAATAGCATGTTCTTTTCCAAATTTTTGCGACCGACGGAGAACTTTTGCGCCGGAATTCCTAAAGCGCGTGAGTTTTTTCATTTCAAAATTTGCAATCAAAATTTATTGTAAATTCGCAGAGACGGGTGTGTGCTTGGGAGACAGTGGGGGAGGATTGACCTTTTACGACCGTGGGGTCAGCAGACGGCACGTTTTGCGCGGCGTCGTGAGCATGGGTTTGATGAGGAAATTTAGCGAGGATTTCCGAACCTGCAACCCCAAGTTCTACGCCCTCTACACCGACGTCACCAATTACATGGACTGGATCGTCCAAAATTCCCCGGACATAAATGTTTAGATTTTTTTAAATACAAATGTCATTATTGCAGTTAGTAATTTCATTGCCGGGAAATATTTCTTTTTAAACGAATTATTAAATTTTGGTCCAAATTGACTTAAAAAATCTCCCCAAATGTTTGATGCGAAAATACTATGTAAAAGGATTTTCATTAATTATCAATAAATTACATTTTTTGTAAATCGGTCATCAGTGTATACTGAGAAATTTCCTTGTTTTCTTTTTCTAGCTGTAAGAAATTCATTAATAAAAATTAAGAAAAATCTACTTCCAGAATAATATTCTTTGCAAAATTGTGAGAAATAATTACATTAAATATTTTCAGTTTCCATCCGTACGTTTAGTAAATTGTAATAGGAAAACACATGCTGGGTTAAGTGGGGGGTACAGTGTTGCAGTCAGAAATAAGGGATGCAGCCCCACCTAGGCCTAGTTGACATTAACACATTTTTGTGCATCAGCTTTATTTCTTTTGGAAATACTGTCTTGGGGGTGGAGTTAAATTTAGGGCACCAGAGCTTTTTGTGAAATAAGAGCTACTGATCAGGATTACGGTCGACTTTGAATTACTTTGAGGTGTTTCGGCGATCGCTGTTGCTTTGGGCCCAAACTCAAAGTGAGGCGGGCCCCCAATAGGACACTCTGGAGGGAAACAATTCACCTGGCCCTGTTCCGATTTGATTTGGTAATATTAATCGCTCGTAAAAATTCTCTCTCTCCAAAAATGAGCAAAATAGTACCGCGCGATTTATATTTCGTCATCTGTTATTTAAAGTCCATAGCTTACTAAAATATAATTTTGAGTTACAATAGGCTGCATATTTTTGTCATTTGTATTTTTGATCTTAGTTTTAAAATGGTTTCCGATTAATTTAATTAATAAATATTTACATTTCATTTTAACCGCAAGAAATATCTTTTTATGCTCAACACACTTCTGAAAAGAACCCACATCCTCACGCCTGCTTGTTTCACCAGTTTAAAACTTGATAAATTAAATAAAAATAATAATTTTTAATAGTTTAAGCAATTGATAATAATTCATAATCAATAAATATATTTTTTGACAAAAAAAGAGACCAACGTGTGCGGGTTGTCGGGCCTGAAGGAGGGCGACATCATGGAGGACGCGCCGAGGTCACGAAACGTGGTCAGCGACCCGGAAACCCTGTGGAAAGACGCCACCATCCCTTACATCCTCGAGCCCATATTCAGTGAGTTGCGAACGAGACCTGCAGGGTAGGCAGCCTGCTCGACGCGTCCGTCCAGCGGCGCAGTATCCACTCGAATCAAGGCTGTTTTTATTATTTAAAATTACTCTCGTCACGGAAATAAGTTTCGTAATTGAATATTTTTGCCAAATTTTTCATCACTTTAAAAAAATTTACATAAATTTAATTGGGATGAAATTGAGAGAAAAAATTGGTACTATTTTATTTTAAACTCGGAGGGAAAAAAAATTTCGTTAAAATTGGGAGCCAAGAGTGTCTGTTTAAAAAAACTGACCTTAAAAATTTTCATAAATTGTAAATCATTGAAACTCAAAATCAATAGGCAACATGAAAATAATTTTCTACCGGAGACAAAAATTTTATTCTTCAAACGTTGGATGCTCTGGAAATGAAATTTCAACCAACTTATTTTGTATTTTAGAAAAAGAATAGAGTTTTGAAACGAACAAGTGTTTTTCGGTTTCAGACGACGCGGAGAGGAAGACGATCCGCGAGGGGATGGACATGATCGAGAAGGGGTCGTGCTTCAAGTTCCGGCCGTTCCAGATCGGCGACCTGGACTTTGTATACGTGCAGGGCGGGCCGACCGGGTGCTGGTCGTACGTGGGGCGGCAGGGCGGCGGCCAGGTCGTCAACCTGCAGAGGAGCGGCTGCGTCCACAAGGGCGTCGTCGCCCACGAGCTGCTCCACGCCTCCGGCTTCTTCCACCAGCAGAGCGCCGCCGACCGCGACGAGTTCGTCTTCGTCAACTTCACCAACATCCAAGCAGGTAAATTGGTCCCAAAAAAAGCAACATTTTTGCAAGAAAAAACAACAACATTTCATTTTATGGAAAAAAGATTCGTTTCAAATTCAAAACAAAGAAAGAGTGATATTTTTATTTCATTTTACGCTTTTTGAGGGAGGTTTGTAGATTGGATTTTTATATAATTTATTCAAAAAGTATTATATTTATATTCAAAATGAGGAAAAATTTGAGAAAAAAAATACTTTTCTTAGTACTTGGAAATTAATTTTATCCAGGCATCAAAATGTTCCTGCTGCCGTCCCCTTTCCATCCATGCGTCACACACGTTAAAAAATTCAAAAAAGGTCACAGGTCAGCTGGGGTCAATGACCCTTTGTGACCTGATCACCATGTTTGATACATCGTTTGAAAGAACAAGTCCAGGCAATCATTTTTGGTTGTTATGCATTTGCTCCTAACTCTAACAGGAAAAGTTTTATCGAGGTTGAAAGTGATTTTTTTCACACAAAAAACACGTTTTTTGCCGTTTCATCCGAAATTTCTCAAAAACTGAAAGTTTGAAGATCACCAATTTTTGACATAATCTTTATTACTAACTAGAACAACTTTGGGTTATTTGAGAATCAAGAAAATTTATTGTCTTGCTACTTTGCTAACAATTTAAATAATTCAGCTAAAAAAAGTGACCTTCAGAGTTGACCTTTGACCTTGATTACTATTGCAAAGTTGAACTGAGATATTTTCGACTTTCAAAAAAACCTTTTTTTGAAAGCCAATCCTTGTAAATTAGGCAATTTTGAGAATTGTCAAAAATTCTTTTGCTAAATTCCGTCCAATTCGGTTGACCCTAGCCAAAATTTTTGCCGTTTTAAAGAAAAGTATAAATTTTTTTAATTAGCATGAAAATGAAAATATGAGTTTTGGTTTTGAGGTCTCGAGAGCAACTTTGACAAGTACAACGAGCCGATCGTGTCCGACTTTGGCGTCGGCTACGACTACAACAGCGTCATGCACTACAGCCGCAAGGCCTTCTCCAAGAACGGCGAGGACACGCTGGTGCCGCTTGTGAGTTCTCGCTTTTCCAAAAGACCCTGAATAAAAAATTCCCACTTAAAATCAGATCAAAATTGATTTTTCATTACTTTGACCGCTCTTTTGAATTCGCAGCAAGACGGCGCCGAGATCGGCAACCGACACTTTGTCACCGAAAAAGACATGGCCAAGCTCAAGGCCAAGTACGGCTGCGGCGAGCAGGGCGGCCAAGGGGCCACCGAGGCCTCCAATTCGTACGGCAACATGATGATCGAGGCCGGCAACCAACTTCTCGCCCTCCTCGTCCCGCCCGCATAAAATTCTTGTATTTTAATCAAATTGGTTTCACATTAATTGTTCTTCGGTAGTTTTAGAATTTGTAAAATAACCAAGCAATGTCACATTTCATAGTTTTAATATTTGTCCATCTTTTATGATATTTAATTTTAATTCGATAAAATTTTAACATTGGAAAGTTTGCAGATTTTTTAATAAACTGGAGTTTGAAACACGAAAAACAAATTTTTTCAAAAAATATCGTAATATTGCCTACGCTGAAGTGATTTTTATCTTAATTCTTTTCACATTGTGAAAGTTTAATTTTGAATGGAAACTTTGGTCAGCCGAACCGAAATCGATTCACGCTCCAGGAGGAGTTTTTCAGGGTGAAATCTCGACAATTATCTGCTTTCCACGAAGTTAAATAACACGCCTCTTTATTGCTAAGACGCTTCGGTGCTCCGTTTTCGTCAAAGTCATAAACGGAAGAATTTAGTTGCAAATTGTGTTTATTGATCTATCACAAAAGCAATTGCTGCCCATAACGGGATACATCATTTATACATTCAAAATTATACAAGTTAATATAATTGAGAGAAAAGATGATAATTTTACATACAAATTTTTACAAAAACAAAATACAAAACAAAAACAAAAATTAACAGTAACAAAAAGTTCTTTGGACATTTTTCTTTTTTCTGGATGCTGAAAGCTTGCATTTAGATGACTGCCTGATACTTGCGAATGCCGCTTTCTTTGTTCTTTTTTTGCTCTTACTCCTGGCTCCTCTAAAATTTGGGAACCCACGACTTAAAGAGACCTTGAATTTGAAAAAATTAACTTCTCTATTGGTCGTGGGTCTCCAAAATTTGGGGACCCACGACTTAAACAGACGTCAAATTTGAAAAAAGTTTCTTTTCCAGTCGTGGGTCTCTATAATTTGGGAACCCACGACCTAAACAGACATTAATATTGAAAAACGTTACTTTACTAGTCGTGGGTCTCCAAAATTTGGAAACCCACGGCTTAAACAGACCTTAAATTTGAAAAAAGGTAACTTTTCTAGTCGTTGGTCTCTAAAATTTGGGAACCCACGACTTAAACAGACCTTAATTTTGAAAAAAGATACTTTACAAGTTGTGGGTCTCCAAAATTTGGGAACCCACGACTTTAACAGACTTTTATTTTGAAAAAAAGCTAACCTTTCTAGTCGTGGGTCTCCAAAATTTGGGAACCCATGACTTACACAGACCTTAAATTTGAAAAAAGTAACTTTTCCAGTCGTGGGTCTCCAAAATTTGGGGACCCACGACTTAAACAGACCATATTTTTGAACAAAGTTACTTTACAAGTCGTGGGTCTCCAAAATTTGAGGAACCCACAACTTTAACAGACCTTAAATTTGAAAAAAGTAACTTTACAAGTTGTGGGTCTCCAAAATTTGGGAACCCACGACTTTAACAGACTTTTATTTTGAAAAAAAGCTAACCTTTCTAGTCGTGGGTCTCCAAAATTTGGGAACCCATGACTTACACAGACCTTAAATTTGAAAAAAGTAACTTTTCCAGTCGTGGGTCTCCAAAATTTGGGGACCCACGACTTAAACAGACCATATTTTTGAACAAAGTTACTTTACAAGTCGTGGGTCTCCAAAATTTGAGGAACCCACAACTTTAACAGACCTTAAATTTGAAAAAAGTAACTTTTCCAGTCCTGGGTCTCCAAAATTTGGGGACCCAGGACTTACACAGACCTTAAATTTGAAAAAAGTAACTTTTCCAGTCCTGGGTCTCTAAAATTTGGGGACCCACGACTTAAACAGACCTTAAATTTGAAAAAGGTAACTTTTCTTGTCAGGACTAAACGGCGGCCATCTCATTTTTTATTTTCAAATTTATCGATTAAATCTGAATCTTAACGACAATTTTAGCGGCCATCTAATTTTTTGCAAATGAAAAATATAACGCTTGCAATCCCGTCTAAAATTTCAAAGTTAAGACCTGACCGCAGAGGACAAATTGATTTAAAATAATCGAAGATTTCATAAACTCTGTTCCCACTTCTTGTCCAGGAAAGAATACTTAATTAGTAGATAACATCCGAAGACGGGTTTTTTGCAAATAAAAAAAATAACGCTGGCAATCTCTCGTCTATATTTTCAAAGTTAAGACCTGACCGCAGACGACAAATTGATCTAATAATCGAAGAAATTTTCGTTCCTTTTTTGATAATGAATATCGCTGTTTTCTCTGAAGCCTCTCTGAGAGAGGTCATCTCGGAGATTATTTTTTAAAAAAGCACATTTTTTTTAAATAAATAAAAATAATAAAATTCCTTATTAAAGAGAGGAAAAAACAAGCAAAGGAGTTATATAAAAAATATTATATGTGATAATCAATTTTGTTTAAATAATTGAAATTAAAGAAGTAAATTGTTCAACATTTTCATTAGAAATGAAAATCAATTTTACTGAAATTGATAGCCAATTTACAATTGGTATCCGCGTTTGTGGAGAAAAAAAAATCAAATTTTAAAGGAAAATCGAATATTTCATTATACTTTTAACCTGTCTTTCAGCTGCGAGACATCAATGAAAATGAAATTATGTTTCGGATTTTCTCTGCGACAAGTGACGGATTTTTATCTGACGTCTTCTCATTCTCGTGTCGCTAAACAAGCTGAAAAGCTGAAGAGTGATGGACCTTAATGTTCCGCAGCTTCGATCTGATTTATATTCATGGGGCCTAGCATGAGTTGCGCACACCTCATTATACATATATCTGACGGCGACCCGCTGGGAATTGCAACTAATTTTCCTCGTTCATGCATACAGATAGGGGTGCAGCAAAACTCTCTCTCTATCCTCGCAAACACCAACTATGAGAGTACCTGCCTAAAATATGAATTGCAAAATGCATCAAAAAGCCGTGAAAGTTAAATTGGATTGCGATTGTGAACAGAGAGCGTGCAAAATTTTCTGAAACAATGATTAATTCGTTCAAGAATCATCAAAACTTGGATTAAAAAATTTGACTCAATTAATCAATAAATATACAATACTTTTCAACGATTTGCTTGGAAAATATGTCCTTCTTAAAATGATTTCACATTGGAATATATGAAGTTAAAATTTACAAGAAGCTGTTAAAAAATTTTAAATTATGAAAACATGGTATTGAAAATTATGAGGGAATTGCTTTCTACAGTTCTTGAAATAAATCATTATATAAAAATATTTCTCTAACTACTTGATAGCTTTCTCCAAATATCTGTTCAATTAATCAGCAACGAATTAATTTAATTCATACATCATTAAATCTGCAACAAATTTTGAAAATATATTATTTATTTGTTATTACCTAAATAAGTATTCATCCTAAAATCTACTGAACATTGGCCAAGAAAAGAATCATTTCAATTCTATAATTTTTGACTCTTCCATTTTTGAATACCAGATGTCGACCTGAGCACAAAGTTGAAGGTGCCTCGTATCAAGTTAATCACTAAATTGGCCGGAAATGGAGTGCGGCGGCAAGAGTCGCGCCCACGAAGCGACGGCATTTTTAAACATGAAGGTGGAACGGAAAAGAGGTGCCAATTTTTGCAGCAGTAGTCGTGTGCGAATTGTTTTGTTGGTCGTGGCAATTGTACTGCTGTTGAAATTCTACCTGGTGCCGACGCTTTTTGGTTACATCAAAGACGAATCCTTGCCAGTATCAAAGAGTAATAATTTTAAATTTGACCATTATGTTTTTTTTTCTTTATAATTTTTGATAAATTTAGATTTGTTGATAAAAGCTGAAAATGAAAAATATGACGATAATGACGAGGAAGATGGGCCAGCTGAAGAAAAATACGTTCAAAAAATTGAAAAGCATCCTAAAAAGATTGCAGTGAAAAATGAAACAAAAAAGGCTGAAGTTTTGAACAGGAAGTCTAATGGAAAACCCGAAGAAAAGAAAAAAGATGAACAAACCACTAAAAAATTATCTCAACCAATAGAAACTGTTACTAAAAAAAGTGTTTGAATAATTTAAATTTTTGTAAAGGAGGGGATTCTGCTAGAAAAACGGCCTGATTATTTTTCATAATTATTGTTCTCGTTGCTCGTATAGAGATATTATTTCCTATGAGACGAATCATTAGAAAAATTGAATCCATTGGGAGAACTGAATTTTTGAAAATTAAATTAATTTCTTATGATAATTTTCAAAGATAATCATAAATCAAAGTTGGCATGACCAAAATTTGTATAAATTTTACGAAGTAACGTTACAGCAATTTGTATATCGATGTTCGTTGAAACTGTTCAGTAAAAATGTCACTCATTCTTTACTCATCGTTGATAAATTTATAAAACAAATTCACACCATTTTTTTTTTTTTAATTAAATAAAATTTGAAAACAATTTCCTGGACGATTTTTTAATGTTTCGTGGGCTATCGTGGCACATTTCCTTATCAATTTTTAAGAGAGCTCAGAACCACGTCATTAAAGTATCAGTCAGGAGGGACAACCTGCGTATTTTCCTGTGCAGCCTGCTTTAAAAATAAAAAAAATGTACAAACAAGCAACAAACTGAGGCACCTTCAACGCGTCCGCAAAAACCAAGACGACCCTTTCACCGACCTGTTGACCGACGTACGTGGATCAGATCAAAGTCTACTATTTCAGTCTGGCGGGACGTTGAAGGTCACAAAGTCGAACCATCAATGACAAATTGAAACCAGGCGAACATCGTTGCAAGAAAAAATGAAAAATTAAAGACCCCAAAGGCAAATATTAAATTCGCGCAAACGTCTAATGAATCGAGCGCGCCGCTCTCCGCCGTCGAGTGAGAGAGAGTCGAGCAAAGCGACAAGCTGAGGCCGGCGCGTCTTTATGTTCATAGCGCAACAACGGCCGCTCAGATCACAAAATTAATCACACCACGAGTTTCCTCATCCCCGAATTACCCAAATTGCATTAGGCCCCCAAAAATTAAAAAGTCGTCAAATCAGAAGGTGAATTTGTTTTTATTATTTAATTTCACTATGGGCACTTTGTCGTGTTGCATTTCTTATCTCCCGTGTTTACGCCAAAATAACATTCAAACGCGCCCAATTATGATTGGTTATGACTGACATTGTTTACAAGTGCATCATTTGTTGCCGGGGCGAAGATTTGGGTCGAAATTCAGCCCAAAATTGTCGACCGAAGCGGCCGGTGAAATCGGCGGCCGCCGCGTGAGGAGTCAAACAGACCCGCTTTGGCCGCAGCGACTCCACAGACTCCACAAAACGGAGTCTGTTAGAGCTAAGTTTGTGTCAGTTTATTAGTCCGCTCCAACCGATACTTAAAAAAATCGTTTATTAAAATATTTTAGTCCACGGCGCATTTTAGGTTTAAAAAATAAGTATTAGTCCTCTCTGAACGAATTTTCAAATAATCGTATATTACAAAAAGAAAAAAAAAACATTAGTCCTGCGAGTCAAATAATGGATGAAATAATTTGTTTTCTAGGATCAAACAACTTTGAAATACACTCTAAAACACCGCTGGATTATATTTTTGTCGACAAAGATGTATTAATTATTTCAATATAATATTGGAAAGTAAAATACTTTATAAAAAATCCACAATCAAATCAGGATACAATTAATATTTTTTTTCCTGAAGCAGTAATTTAAATTAGATTGAAGTTTAATTGATGAAGACAAATATTATTGATCTTCTTTTAAAAATAAATGCCAAAAACAAAAATTTTAAAAGCCGACGATATAAAATATAAAAATGAAATCCAGTTGCTTCTAAATTTTTCAATTTAAATCTGTATTAAATTTAACGATCTAAAATAGAAAATTGATTCTCATTTTTCTTTTTGTATAAAATCTAAAATTAAAGCAAAAAAATATAAAGAAAATGCTGAAATCATAATTTTGGAATCCAAATTTGGTAAAAATTTTCAAAATTCAGGTTCAGACAAGAGTCTCCAAGACGTAACGTTTCTAATATAAATTTTCAAAAGTAAGGATCAGACAAGAGTCTCAATGTTTTATCCTCCTTGGTAAAAATTTTCAAAATTCAGGTTCAGACAAGAGTCTCCAAGACGTAACGTTTCTTGTAATAATTTTCAAAAATAAGGATCGGACAAGAGTCTCAAGTTTTTATGCTCCTTCGTCTAAATTTTCACAATTGAGGATCGGACAAAAGTCTCCGAGACGTAACGTTTCTTGTAATAATTTTCAAAAATAAGGATCGGACAAGAGTCTCAAGTTTTTATGCTCCTTCGTCTAAATTTTCACAATTGAGGATCGGACAAAAGTCTCTGAGACGTAACGTTTCTTGTAATAATTTTCAAAAATAAGGATCGGACAAGAGTCTCAAGTTTTTATGCTCCTTCGTCTAAATTTTCACAATTGAGGATCGGACAAAAGTCTCCGAGACGTAACGTTTCTCTTAATAATTTTCAAAAATAAGGATCGGACAAGAGTCTCAAGTTTTTATGCTCCTTCGTCTAAATTTTCACAATTGAGGATCGGACAAAAGTCTCCGAGACGTAACGTTTCTTGTAATAATTTTCAAAAATAAGGATCGGACAAGAGTCTCAAGTTTTTATGCTCCTTCGTCTAAATTTTCACAATTGAGGATCGGACAAAAGTCTCCGAGACTGAACGTTTCTCTTAATAATTTTCAAAAATAAGGATCGGACAAGAGTCTCAAGTTTTTATGCTCCTTCGTCTAAATTTTCACAATTGAGGATCGGACAAAAGTCTCCGAGACGTAACGTTTCTTGTAATAATTTTCAAAAATAAGGATCGGACAAGAGTCTCAAGTTTTTATGCTCCTTCGTCTAAATTTTCACAATTGAGGATCGGACAAAAGTCTCTGAGACGTAACGTTTCTTGTAATAATTTTCAAAAATAAGGATCGGACAAGAGTCTCAAGTTTTTATGCTCCTTCGTCTAAATTTTCACAATTGAGGATCGGACAAAAGTCTCCGAGACGTAACGTTTCTCTTAATAATTTTCAAAAATAAGGATCGGACAAGAGTCTCAAGTTTTTATGCTCCTTCGTCTAAATTTTCACAATTGAGGATCGGACAAAAGTCTCCGAGACGTAACGTTTCTCTTAATAATTTTCAAAAATAAGGATCGGACAAGAGTCTCAAGTTTTTATGCTCCTTCGTCTAAATTTTCACAATTGAGGATCGGACAAAAGTCTCCGAGACGTAACGTTTCTTGTAATAATTTTCAAAAATAAGGATCGGACAAGAGTCTCAAGTTTTTATGCTCCTTCGTCTAAATTTTCACAATTGAGGATCGGACAAAAGTCTCCGAGACGTAACGTTTCTCTTAATAATTTTCAAAAATAAGGATCGGACAAGAGTCTCAAGTTTTTATGCTCCTTCGTCTAAATTTTCACAATTGAGGATCGGACAAAAGTCTCCGAGACGTAACGTTTCTTTTAATAATTTTCAAAAATAAGGATCGGACAAGAGTCTCAAGTTTTTTTGCTCCTTCGTCTAAATTTTCACAATTGAGGATCGGACAAAAGTCTCCGAGACTGAACGTTTCTCTTAATAATTTTCAAAAATAAGGATCGGACAAGAGTCTCAAGTTTTTATGCTCCTTCGCCTAAATTTTCACAATTGAGACTCGGACAAAAGTCTCCGAGACTGAACGTTTCTCTTAATAATTTTCAAAAATAAGGATCGGACAAGAGTCTCAAGTTTTTATGCTCCTTCGTCTAAATTTTCACAATTGAGGATCGGACAAAAGTCTCCGAGACGTAACGTTTCTTGTAATAATTTTCAAAAATAAGGATCGGACAAGAGTCTCAAGTTTTTATGCTCCTTCGTCTAAATTTTCACAATTGAGGATCGGACAAAAGTCACCGAGACGTAACGTTTCTTGTAATAATTTTCAAAAATAAGGATCGGACAAGAGTCTCAAGTTTTTATGCTCCTTCGTCTAAATTTTCACAATTGAGGATCGGACAAAAGTCTCCGAGACTGAACGTTTCTCTTAATAATTTTCAAAAGTAAAGTTCGGACAAGAGTCTCAATGTTTTATCCTCCTGATAAGAAATTCAAGTTAACATTATCCAAATTTACATTAGTAATAAGAAGTTGATAATAATTTATTGTTTATTTCCATTCAAATCTTAACTACAAATGAAAACTACTGGTCTTTACTTGACAGACCAGTTCATATTTGCACACACTATTTATCCCCGCAGAGAAACTAAACCTCTGCATCACACAGCAATATGAGACTCACTGTGAAATTGTTCCCTATGGGATGCCGGCAGCATAATTCAAGCCGCCGTATGCAAATGATTATTATTAATGACGCCTTTTGTGGAGGATTACGGCAGCGAACAAATGACTCGCGCGCGAGCGGCTGCTGCTTCTTGCGAGTTGCATACCAAGTAGTTTCTGTCCCTCCTGGAAATTCAACTCGATAGCCCGACCTGGCGTTTTGCGTGCCAGAAACAGATTTTGCTGCCTGCAAATAAATTTTAGGTGTATTGCAAATTGTGTTGCTTTGAGCAATTTTTCCATATATTTCGTTGAAAAAACTCACATTCATAATTTAACATTAAAGATCATCATAATTGTGTTCTATTTAAAAATATCTCCGGTCATTGAAAAGTTTTTTTTATTCTTGTTCAAAATATTCCTACAAAATTACGAAGGATTTTGTAAATGTGTGTACGTTTTGGATAAACAAAGAGAAAGAAGAAAATTCAACCGCCCTCTTCTTCCATATCTACCGTGGTGCGAGAAGAGGATTTTGTGGCGTGCACGAAGTAAATATCCCTCTCCAAACGAAAAGTGTTGACTTTGCTCGCACAAATGCCACCGCTTTTGATTTAATAAACCCTAATCGCAGTATTTCAACGCGAGGCATATTTGTTTTTTCGCTTCCTCTCCGCTGAGGGTGCATTTTTTTTAATCTACCAAAGGGTTTTGTTTATCTTTAGCGGATAATTTATGGAAAAAATAAAGCAAAACTTTTGACATTTTCCCATAGGGATTCCTGCTTTTTTAATTATTTTCAGTCGAGTTTTCCTCAATTTCGCTGAGTTTTGAATCATGTTTCTCCACCTGAGATAAGGTCCTAATTACTATGACGCGTTATTCTTTTATAATTACCCACCTGAAAAACTTTATCTCTCGGCGTGTCGGTATCATGTTTGAAAATTTCTTTATCGGCAAAATTTAAATGTACCGGCGCATGAATAGATTTAAGTCTATTACTTTCAACACTGCGTACATTTTTGTTTCTATTAATCATGTCTTTATTCACATTTTCAACAAAATAAAAACTCATCTGAAACTTCGAAATGTGCCCGACTTGCGTGTTCAGTAGATAAGTCCCCTCTCTTGCCCTCTTATTTTTCTTTTTCCTTGTACGCGGGCCCTTCGAATGCTTACGACTCATATTCGAGTGGCTTTTTTCTGGACTAATGTTTGCCCTACCCACAAGCAACATACCAAAAGTAATTTCAGCCTTCGCTTTTCTATGTTTGCTGTGCATAATCTTGTTCGAGAACGAACTTTTTGCGGAAGTGAATCGACGATACCGCTCAAAGCGATTCGTGACAAAGGCTGAATTGAAAATCGACAAAACCGTTTTCGGAAAAGATGTGAAAGCCAAAAACGCAAGTCAGAAATTCATGAAGTGTGAAGATTTTATTCATTTGCAAATTTAGGCACAAAAAACGAATCCAAATTTGCCACTCGTGTTTTACTACAGCATAAACCCGAAGGATTACAAATTAAACGAATCATGCGCTTACCTGACGAATCCGATGGACATCAGTTTCAACAACGTGTACTGGCAAGTGCAGAAAATGACCAACGACATTTACTACCTATTCGGCGCCTATTTTGATAACCGTAAGTTGAACGGTGTTGGACCGGTGGTGCGTGTCATGGGACTTTTGCAACATTGGGAGCCAAAGGTCAAACCCTTTTGCCAAATGTGGTTCAACAATCAGACGACGCCGGTCATCACGCAAGTAATTGCCTCACATGTAAAAGTTTTAAAGGTTCTTCACGTTTTTATTACCAGGTTTTCAGTTTCAACATGTTGTGGAACCATTTCTGGGGTCCAGAGGCCAATATAATGCAGCCCTACTTCATCACCTGCAAAGTTCCGCCCTCGATGAATGGGTCGGTGCCGGTGGCCGTATCTGTTGTTGAGCAGCCATGCGAAAACGCAACCAACCTCCTACGCGTCATCTACGACCCCTTGCCTCCTGGGCAGGAGCAAAAAGATTTCGCCGTTTGCGCCAAAGGCCTATTTTACAAACACAACCCAAACATGGCCGTGAGAATCGTCGAGTGGGTCGAACTGCTGAAGATTCTGGGTGCGGAGAAAATTGGTCTCTACTACTACCACGTCAGTCTCCGGATATTTATTTTATGATTCCCATACAAATTTCAATTAAATTGTTTATAGATCCACGAAAACATCACTAAAGTGTTTAACTATTATGAGGAGAGTGGATTTATGGACGTTGGTCAAGTAACTGTGCCAGGGAAATATCCAAATGCTCCCGACTTGGTTGCTGGCTTTCTAGAAACTCACCGCAGGTTCGAATTTATTCTTGAAGTGATCCACTATACGGACTGCATGTACCATAAAATGTATCGGTATAAATTTATAGCGATTCTGGACGTTGATGAAGTGAGTAGCCACAAATCCACATTTTCACTTTCATTGGAATTGAGATTGAATTATTTTTTCCTATAAATGATTTCTACAGGAAAGATGATTGGCACCAAAATTAGATTCATACTTCCGAGAATTTTAGGATGATAAACAATCATCATCTTTCCACAGATATCATATCAAATATTATATTAATTTATTCAGGGTTTTCATTGTAAAGAAAAATAATATATCTATCCAGGTTATTGTGCCACATAGTGCGAACACTTGGCGGGAGATGCTATTTCAAAAGGTTTTTCCTCGGCTCGAAGCCAAGGCTAAAAACTCATCTTTGTCTTATGCGGCCTTCGCAGCCAGAAACGCTTACTTCATTGACCAGCTTACGGAGCAGAAGCAGTTGTACCCTGACATTCCACAGTATCTTCACATGTTGCAAAACGTGCATCGCAACAGCTTCATCTATCCAGCAGGTGAGCCCAGGAATGACGATATCTGTGCTGCATTTCTTGAGATTTTCCAAAGTTTCCTGATTTAAAAAAATTCTCCTCAAATTTGAATATTCAAAGTCCTCTAAATTTCCTGTGAATGGAATTGGTTTCATTGCCTTATATTGACAAAAAATGGAAAATATAATGTTCAGTGATCAGAATAATAATCAACTTTCACTTTTATCTTGAAAAGATCATAGGCAGAAGGGGAAATCTCAAATTGCAATTTGGAACGGGGTTATTAATTTTAATTCTCTCATCGACCAGGTTATCAGCCTGGTTACGTCAACGTCAAGTGCTTTCATAACCCTCAGCATGTCCTCGTCCCGCACAATCACTACCCCATTTACTGCTTCAACGACGTCGCGACCAATTGCACCAAGTACGATTTCGATTTGGGCGACGCTCTTCTTCATCACTACTGCACCGGTAGGTCCAGGACGGACTGTGAAACCACGGACACGACCAAGATGGTGATCGACGCCTCCATCTGGAGGTACAAGGAAAAGCTCATACAGCGGACCACAGAGGTTTTAGTCGATATTGGAATCATTGGAAGGAAAGACGCCATCGAACATTTTGATCCTCATTTTTTATCGCCATCAACAACAAGAAATCCATAAAAGTTGTGAATTTAAAAATTTAGTTGCCTTTGAAAATTTGATACAATAATGGGACAAAAAAATAGCCCAATTTGGAACCAAAAGTTGCAAGTTTTTTTGATAGATTCTTGGACGAAAAATTTTATTTAATTGAAGATCCAAGATTGATTGGAAAAAGAAAAAATAATTTTGCAATTTAAAATATTTTTTGACTGAATTTGATATAAAATTGACGTTAATTTCTATTTGTGAGGAAAAACTTCCAACACATAACTTGCCGATTAGAATTATTGCAATTTTTCTCAATAAAAACCATAGTATTAGAAAATTTAAATGCGTGGCTGGATTTTTTTTTAAGGAAAATTGAATCTTAAAAAATTGGAGTTCCTAGAAAATTGGAATAAAATAATTTGGACATCCTGATTTTCAAAAGAAAAGATGATGTTTGACCACTGTTGTGTTCTAAAATTCCTTGAAAATTGCTCAAAAATGCCGAATATACTATGTTTCACCAAACCTTAAATTAGTTAGTTGATTTTTTGCCTCCTATCAATTTCAAATTATTTTTTCCGTGTGATCTTTAACTGATTTCTAAAACTAAAATTCTTGATTTAATTTATATTGATAAATGATTGTGTGTTGAGATGAAAAATAACTTCAACAAGGATTCTTTCATGAGAAAGTTTTTAAAAATCGAGCTTTTTCCCCGGAGGCTGCGTGTGAAGCGTGCGTCTATTTTCACATTCAAAACTTCGGCAGGCAGGCAGGCAGCCAGCGCGAAAAGTTTCACGTCTGCTACATACTTTTTTTTTGTAAATTTTATAACGTGAACGCGCGTGTTGCAAAACGCTTCTCCAGCACGTGCAGTTGCCGCTCAAGAGATGAAATTTTCCCCTAGCGCGTGTGTGCGAAATATCGCTGCCAGCAATTTCTCAGCTTCTCCCTTTCTTTCTGCACTGGAAAACAACTCGCGTTAACTTTAATTAGAAACGAGAGAGAAAGAGAAAGCGGCAGCCGACGTTATTAAAACTAGAGGTTTTTCAGCCGGAGATCAAAAATGCAGCTGCATCTGAGAAAAACGTTTCTGAAACTCAAATTCAATTTAATTAGAGCGGTCCAGGCGGAGTTGCGGGTTTCTTTCATCGTAATTTTTTTATTTACTTCAATGTTATAAGGAACTGACAAAAAAGTTGAAATTTCAACAAACACAAATTGTTGAAATGTTTTTTTTTACTAACAATCGAATTTTAATTCAATCGTGCAATTTTTATAAGTTACATAGTTGAAAAGAATAATTTTGATTTTCAAACTTTTTTCTTTCATCGCCATGTTCAAAAAGATTTTTTAAATAAAACAACAAAATGAATAATAATTCAATTAATTATTTATATAGTTTTGTGCAGTTCGTTTTTATGAATTTTTATTTGAACTGTTCATGTACATCCTAGCAAAAAAAAATTGGATTTATTCAATTTTTCCTAAATCAGGATTTCTATATTTGAATTTTTTTCGAAGTAAAATTATCTATTGAATTTAATAACGAATTTTTGTAATATTTTAACAAACTGTAACAATTTTTAAAGGAAAATAATTCTTCTTTCACTGTTTAACATTTTTGTTTTATTTTCCTAATTATACATAATTGAATTCGTTAGTGGTTGCTGAACGTGCAAAATATGCAAATACACTTTTATAAAAATGCAATATAATTGAATACATATTTTCTTTTCTAATATAATAGAGTGCCCGAGCGAAAAGAGCTGTGCGTAATTTGAGAGATGGAAAATGGTCACTTCAAAGGAAAAGGTCGTCGACCGCGACTGAAAATGACAGAGAGGGTTCGTCTAATGAAGCAAAGTAAATCTGCTGTTTGCGCTCGGGCAGGGTTAGTTGCGGACGTGGAATATTATCTAATTAGGTGGCGGAGAGGGTGGCCGGGGCTGCATTTCGGCGCGGGGGTAGTCAAAGGGTGTTTGCGTGCGGTTCGCCGCCGCCTCCGTCACGCCTCTCGGCCGGCAGGTAACGCGTCCATCTGTGGAACAAACGAAAAACCAAAATTAGATGGAAAAAATCCAAATAATTTAAATCTGAAGTTATTTTGAATTTAAAATATAATTTATACAATTTATGAAAAATATTTACGTTTTTTTTATAAATTGTCAAATTATATGTTATTTATCAAAATCATTTAACACGTGTTCGGAAAGGAACACATTTTTTTTTGCCCTTTTTGAGAGATTCATATTTCTTTTTAATTTTAAATTGATATCCTAATGAAAAGTTTTGGAAAATGATTTTCTAAAAGAATAAGAATGTAAATGAAATTGATTGTTCAGCGTTGTGAAATTCTTTCATTTTGTAACGATAGAGCCACAAAAGTGGTAAAAATGTATTACAATTTTTTCCTCTTTATTTTTATAGTTTTTCATTATTTGAAAAATGGCTTGTTTTAGACATTTGTTTCATTTGCCTGAAATATTTAAGCATATTTCTAGGTTATTTTATTATTGTTCTTAAAAAATTTGTAGATTTTTCATTCAGTTTTAAATTTCATTTGTGGGAAGAATGTCTTCTTGATGAAAGGAAAATGCTGATTTTATTAAATTTAGTTTAAATTTGTATTAAATATTCAGTGTTGGATTGCAAGAATTGGGGTTTTAGGTAATTCCGCCTTGAGTGATCACGCATACAACTTAGAAGATTTAAAAAGTTTTATCCGTTCTAAATTAAAAAAAAAAAATCGTACTATAATTGATAAATTCCACAAATTTAATATTATTGATTCTTTAATTTTTAAAGTTAATAAAGTTCCAATTTCTAATGGGAAAAGAAGTTAAATTGGCAGGAATTTTATGCAATTGTTTTCACCCCGACTGAAAAAATTGTTAAAATATGAAGCTTTCAATTCAGAGTTTGGTCATAAGTAAAAAAAATATCCAGGTTGGCCGATAGCGATAAGAAATACTTGATCTTATAGGAATTCATTTTATTATTTAATTTAAAACGATTTATACGTTTTTATTTTAAATGGAGTACATTTTTCATCAAATTTTTCTCCCAAATTCAAATTCGTTACGTTTGAAGAATGTTTAAAAATTAAATTTTTGTAAGTTCATAAATTTTGAGCTTAAACGTATTGTTAAATCTTACAATTGCTTCTATTCCAACCATAAATTTTTTCTTCAAGAACAAAACCCGAGAAGAAAGGAAAAATTAACAAATTAATTGATATGTTTTCCCTCCAATTTCACTACGTATTTTTCAGATATGCTATTGTGTCCAAAACAGAGCAAAAATTCACCACTGTGGTTTTAATTCTAAATATTCAGAAATGCTTTGTTTCCTCTCAAATATTTAAATATAAACCCCAGAGGCTGTGTAAATCAACAGCTAGAAAAACAAATAAACTGTTCGACTAAACAAGGGAAATAATGGGTCGTTATTTGATCCATAAAATTTTCCGAGCAACCCATAAAAAATAAATAACGACGGCCCTCACCGTTTAGAAAATTCCCGAGTACAAGAGCCAGAGGAGGAAGAGCAGGAAGATGAGGATGAAGTAGGTGGTGAAGATGTTGGAGGTCTCGCTGGGCATTTTGCGGACGTGTCAACGAGAGTAGCACCAGCGAGAGCCACGGACCGACACCAACTAAAGATGCACCCCGGCCGAGCCTTTAAAAATATTATTCAGCTCCGGCTAATTCCAGCTCTCGGCCGAATTATCCCGCGCCGGCTGCTGGAGCCAAAATATCCCTGGCCTGCGGTCACGCAGCAAAAAAATAAAGACGCCCCAAACTTTGTCTCTTGGCACGATATGGATCGAGAGAAATGTGGCGATATAAACTGCTTTTTTAATGTCCTCCGGCCCATTCATTTCGGGCTGATGTATATTTCGGTCTTGATAACTGGCCTGTTGGCACCAAATTGACTCGAAAGCAGCATTGTTAAGCACTTGACTGCCACTAATTCTTCAGAAAAATAAAAACACGCATAATTTACCCAGATTATTCAAAATTTTACATTTTTATGCAGTTGATTAATTACTTGGAATGATTCCTTTGCATTGGTAAAATGCTTTTTTTTAGCAGAATCACTCTAATAATAATTATTATTATTTTTTAAATTTTTAATTTTTATTTAAAAAAATTCATAATATAAATTTAAATTTATTATAAACTAACCAAAATTGACCAATCAGCAGATTTATTAAAAAACCACTTAATTGACCTTTTTGAAACTTCCAGAAATTTCCTAGCACGAAATATTTCTTAAATTTTAAGACGATCCTCTTTTAATCAAATATTTGTGCCCAATTTTTATTTCCTGCCGGTAAAACCATAAAAATTGCCTTTGTTAAACACGAAATAGTGGCGAGGGAAATAACGATAAAACGATGATTTACGCTGGAAACAACGAGCTGATAAAAATATCGGTCATTACGTCGCAGCCTGTGATAATCTGCACTCGAGATTGCGTTTTGCGCGACAATAAAAGCGTTGGCTTTCATTACAGGGCTTTCACGTTGTGGAAACAATAACCATTTTTTGCGGCCGGATTTTCCACCCATCCATCTGGGCGCACACGTTTCGCAATCGCGGCCGCTTTACGGCCCCTGGTGCTCAAAAGCTCAGTCAGAAATACTCTTGGGTACACAAACAATTTGCGAGTAATGGCCCCATAGTTCGCCAAAATTGCTTTTCAGAATCATTGTGAAATCACCAGCGAGAGGAAAACAGGCAAATTCACAATTATTTCAAATCCGGAAAGATAATGTGAATTGAAACTTGCTTCATAAGAAGAAAATGATTAAGAAATTTAATATATGAATTTAAAAATTGAAAATTTGCATTAAACAAAATGATAATAAATTTAAAAGTTGTTATTTCGTACAAAACAGAAAGTGAAATTTTTGTACGGAAATAATATTTTTATGATGGAATTAATTGTTCTAAAATATTGAAAATATTTTTAATGTTTATTCTCGTATAATTGTAAGAAATTAACCTAATATTGGCAGTCTATTGCATCATTAATAAAACAATCATGCTCATCATCATCATCATTCATCTATTTTAACATAAAATTTTGGTTTACTGGTAATTTTAAATTTGATCACTTTGAGATTCACAAAAAAATGTAAATTATTTTTAACGTTATAAATATATTTAAAATAAATATTTTTAGGAATCACCAAGGATTCATTTATAGAGATTAATTCTATAAAAGTTTAATTATTAATCTTATTAACTACTTTCACTGAAATTTATTATTTTCGTTTACATTGAAATTAAAAATTTTGATATTCACTGGGCGAAATTGAGAAATTTCACTGTAAGAATAACGCAGAGATACATTGAAATTTGTTCATGTAAATATTTAAAGGTTTATTGCTTTTTTCAAATTCCTCACTTAGTATACTTTAATTATGGATTTGGTTCTCGTAAAAAACTTCATTATAGTAAAAATTTGCTTAAAATAATTTTATATCCATTTCTGATTTAGGTCTGTACACTTTAATTGTTTATGTGTAATTGAATTTTAGATCTCCTTTTTCACTTCTTTGTTATTCACGATTTTAGCAAAGGTTCATTTTCAAAGAAATGCTCCGAATCTAGATTAAAAGCTAATGCTCGCGTTGTGTGTATTCAAGTATGACTCCCACGATAAAAACACTCGCGGCCTTCCCTTTCAAAGCGGGCAATTGTTTGGAAATCCACGTCGTTATCGCTCTCACAAAACTCTAAAAACCGATGGGTCGGAAAAAAAATTCCCCAAAAAATCGGAATTCTTTACTTTTTACTGGATTTTTGTCGCGCGGCTTTTGGAAAAAAAAACTCGGTCAAATGGCACAAAAGCGGCCGACGGATGAAAGTGGCGTAATTGGTGCTCAGGACGCGAAAATCCACAAAGCGTGACAAAAATGATCCCCGCGGCCATATATTTTTATAAACGTGTATTTTCACAAAACAGCGTGTTTGCCTGTCAAAACAAACTCTCCGACAAAACAAATGGTCGGCACGAGAGAAGAGATAATTAAAGAAAAACATACTTGAAAATTATTGCGCGCCGGGCCAAGAGCCAGCAATTTTTCGTCGGACATTGTTTTTCTTTTGAGCCCTCAAAGTTGGAATGCAAATTTCGTGTCAGGAGCAGCCGCACGGCCTCGGGATCGCTGAGATCATTGCTGACAGCTTTCTGCGTCACTAACTTTGCTGGTAATGAGTTTTCTAAATACAAATAAAAATAGGAAAACTCTTTTGCAATGAGGAATTCACAATTATAAACAAAATTAATAAATTTTGCAATTCTTCAACCTTTTCCCAAAAATTTTCAGTTTAAAATTAAAGCAATCAATAAACCTTTGGGACTTTGAAAGGCTGCAAAGTCCACAATTTTTGTCAATGGAATTTTGACGATCTAAAAATTTTCACTCCTTCGTCTAGAATAGATCAAACCAAATAATCATCCCGCTCCACTTTTGTATTTGGGTCAGATATAACTTTTCAATTTTTAAGCATCCGTTTTATACTAAAATATGCACCTGCTGCGCGTGACGCGTCAATTTTGTTCAACTCACTCGACCCCGTTTTCCTGAGTCTGTCCTTCAGCACATCTCATAATATATAATATCTCTCGGAGATTTATTTATTAAAATAAAAAACATGTGAGCCGATCCAAAGTTAATTAAGAGGTCCAAGAAGAATCACCATGGTGACGCGAGAGTGTCGCTTGGCAACAACTCGCAAATTAGAAGCACTTCAAAGACTTTTTGTCGGAGGTGCCGCAAGCGTGATTTAATTTGACGGCGCGGCTCTTTATCAACCGCCGCTTTGTGTCTCGTTCCCCAAAAGTGTGAGCGAGTCTCGCCAACAAATTTCTTACACGTGCATTTGAACAAACAACATCATTTGTAGTGACACTTTTGAATACAGAAGCTTTTTTTGCATTTTCTATCAGAAAAATAGATTAATGGTGGTTTTGGTGACGTTTTATTCTTTATGGAGCTTCCCCTTGCTCGTCTTTCTTCCCACTCGTTAAGTGAATGGAGAAATTTATGTATTTAATGTATTTCATATTTTTTAATGTACCAAAAAAGCTGAAAGAGTATCAAATGCTTTCGGCACGTAGTTTCTTCTCCTGCAGTCCAAAAATTATGTTGGCCTCAGAGCCATGGGGCCTTATGGCTCTGGCAGGAGACAACCTTTTTTTGTCAACATAACAGAGCTGATGACCAAGGTTTGCTGTAGTATTTAAAATACATATATCTTTATAAGTAAAATTATAAACTATAAAAAATTCTGAATACAAACTTATTGATTTGTTTCCAACATTGACTCTGTGTTTATTACAAACACTTTCGATTTGCTATTCAGCAAAAGGAATGTGATATTGTCGAAAATACCATTGGTGACCCTTGGTGACCTGCCGTCACGCATCGCCCCCTTGGGGAAGAAGTCCGAAGAGGCATTTTCGGACGAATTCCTTTTGGACAAAGTCCAGCGACCCATCTCACTCTTAAGGTTTGAAAATAATTTAAATATGTAAATATTTCATATTTGAAAGTTCCGAATTCCTTATTTTTAGAGTAGTCAGATTTTATTTTATGAAGATTTAGATAATGTGCTCTCATTGAAAAATTCCGAGAAGACGTTGTATCGTTCCATTTCCATGACTAAATCCTAGTAATCAATGTTTATACAATGCTGTATGATGTTTTACTATCAATAATGGCAATAATCCGTGCGCAATAATCTGAAATATCCCCAACATTGATCACTATGATTTGCTTTTAACTTAGGGCTGCATTGCTGCATTTAAAATAATATTAATTTCATTTAAAAGCGACTTTTACTTTTGCTGCGTTTTATTTTTATTTTAAATGGTCAACCAAATCACAAATTAAAAATGGCTTACGACACACCCAGAAATGATTTAGCTTTCAAATTTTTGCTAATTATATTTTCCGATTTAATTGAAAATAAATTTACGAAAATTTAATGAAACCTTTTGATAGGAATGAAATGAAATCAAATTTTATGAATATTACTCTCGTCTCTTACAATAAATCTTTGATTATCGTCCACGGACCTAATAATTTAAATCTAGTAAATCAATGTTATACTCGCTTGGAGATAATTTTGCACGAATTCCTTTCCCTCTTTTTGCACCCACCAGTGCCGCCGATTTAATAATATCTCTCCGGCCAGAGCTGGCCAATATGTCGAAGAATTTCGAGTTTTCACTTACATTTCTACGAGAGAAGCGCGCCTCCTTCTTATTTTTAGATCGCCCTGCGCCAACAGCTCCAAAGAACGGTCCAGCGGTGTTGTATGATATTTTTATAAAGCCAGATGTTTATAGAATCGTCCACCTTCGATCAGCTAGATGTAAAACATTAAACATATTTTCCTCTCATGATTATTCGATGATTGACAAAAGGATGTGGAGTTTTCCTTTTCTGGAAGGTTTATTTAAGCCATTTTTCAATTCAGCTTTTGGTTTTAATAAATTGAAATCAAGCTAGTGCAGTTTTGATAGAGATGACTAAATTAAATTTAATATAAGTTTTGTCACTTTTTCATTGGAAATGAAGATCTTGGGCTTTTTCCTCGTTGTAAAACATTGTTTTTATTCAAAAGGGCGTCGTTTTTTTTCATAA